TGTTAGTTGTATATAAGAAGCTCATATATATAAGCCCGTGGGCTTTTAGGTTTAGGGTTTAGGCACTCTGTACTATCCTATATAAGTAGCTTAGGTTTTCTCCTTTTCTTGTAACGTTCCAACAATATTCATTCAATACAAACGGCAATCTTTTGGCCCTCTCTTTCTCTTATTCTAACATTATCATTGCACTTAGGGCTGTTTACCAAAAATTTACCGGGTTAGCATGACAAGGATCGAAAATCTTACCCGGTAAAAGACATAAGGACACAGAACCTTACCCGGTATGCGAGGTAGAAGACTTTTACCAGATAAAAGACGCTTACCAACAATCCATTATAATGACCGAGAATGCTATTGTATAAGGTAAGTGAGTGTAGTGACTCCTGCTGGTAAGTGCTTAACCGGTAAGCTGTTTGGTAAACGGCCCCTTCCCCGACTGCTCTTATACTCTCTCGTGTATGTCCTCATGCTTACTATCTTTGTTGTTTGTTTGCCCAATCTTTTTGTTGTAATTTTTTCCATGTTAAGTACTCTCTGGTATCTTTTCAAAATCATTGCAAGTTTTAAAAAGAAAAGAAAAGACAATTTCTCGGTTTCTCTGTTTTTTGTCCAATACCTTTTTGCAAGTTCATGGTTTTCATCATAAAACGCTCTCTATTCCTTGGGGTAGATGAAATGTCTACATAATCCGAATACTATTTTTGAATGAGATATATCTCGTATGTTTTGTTTGATTCATATTGAAATTTCCAAGTATTGGCAAAGTATAGAAAGTGCCTGTGGTTGAAGGGCAAAAATTGGAGATACAAGTATCGAAAGTGCCTATTGAAGAAGGCTAAAGGAAGAGACAGTAGAGTTGTTTACTTACATCTTAATGAGCTTAATGGTCTGGATGACTTATTCACTCGGCTATACATGAGTGTTTTCATGACTTTATCTTGCCATTAATCCAAAATGGCTATATGGAAATTTGCATGTGTTTTAAGACAACGAAAAAGGCAACAGTTTTGGGTTATTTGCTTTTCAGGTTAAATGATATTTGGGAGCTTATTACAATATACTGCATGGCTGTTCTAAGTTTTTTAGCATCATTGAAGCCTAATCAATCACTATGATCCAATTCTTTTGGGCAAAAAGTCCAGGTATTACATGAGACTGATGTTCTTGTTTAGTCCTTACAAATTTTCTGTATTGCTACTATAAGAAAATTGGTTACAGAGGATGTCAAATATGTCTAAGGGGCCGTTTATCAAACACTTACCCGGTAAGTGCTTACCGGTAAAGTTTACACTATCATTTACTTACCGGGTAAAATTTTAGTCTACCAAAACGGCACCGTATGCAGCAATTTACCCGGTAAGCGCTTACCGTGGTAAGAATCGTCGCCCACACTTACCGGGTAAGATTTTAGTCTACCAAAACGGTACCGTATGCAACAATTTACCCGGTAAGCACTTACCGTGGTAAGAGTCGTCGCCCTCACCTACCGGGTAAGACTTCTTGGTCCTTGTCTCGCTCTTACCGGGTAAGATTATTGGTCCTTACCATATTCATCCGGTAAGGTAATGTAACTTGGTATTCACTTACCCGAATAACCGTTTGGTAAACGACCCCTAAATGTTTGATAGACTGGTCTATAGCATCCCCAACAGATTCTAAAAAATGGAGAAAAGTGAGATTTTGGAGATTTTATCATACTTTTTGCTCCATCAGATTCTTTAAATCTTTTTTCAAAATGTTGAAAGTAGGAGAGAAGCTTAAAAATCTCCAAATTTGGAGAATTCTTCAGCAAGTGAGGGGATTCTTTTTTATTGTTTCCACCAATAGAGTTAATTGTATCATCAATGTATGTAATATTTAATCGAAATTTTATTGGGATATTAAATCTATTGATATTTTAATATAAATATTAATGGAGAAGCCGTTGAAGTTGTACGTAAGTACGTAACTATTTTTATAGATTTTAATTTTTCATTATCTATTTTGAAGAATTTGTTAGAGATGTTCTTATAGGATTTAATGTTTTATGATTAAATAATTTTGTGTTATATATAAAAGTGTTGCAATAAGCTATAAAAGGTTTCTAGGCTAACTAGCACGTTTTTAAGACACTTTAAATAATATGTCATGTTAGGGGCTGTTTACTCAAATGTTTACCCGTTAATCACTTACCTATTGGAGTCAACACTATAATTTATTTTTCTATGTAAGATTGTAGTGCATCAAAATGATATAGTATGCAACAATTTACCCGGTAAGCGCTTACCCAGATAAGAGTCGTCACTCTCATTTACTGGGTAAGACTCTCCATTCTTTCACCACTCTTACCGGGTAAGATTCTCTATCATTTTACCGCTCTAACCGGGTAAGATTCTAAACCCTTACCATGTTCGTTCGGTAAAGAAAATTACTCGGTAAGCACTTACTGGACAAGCGTTCAATAAACGGCCCGTTAATTTCTATTTATCTGAGAAATATCCTGTCAATACATCTATTTATAAGACATTCATTTTTTACAAGACACTTTTAAATAATGTCATATAAAATATTAATATGATATTTTATTTCAAAGTGTCTTAACAACGTCATATCAATTTATTGCAACACATTTACATAAGACGTACAATTATTACGATCTTGTTGTAATGAATAAATGGGTAGATGATTAAAACGACCCTAAACACTTACCCGGTAAGCGCTTAACGGTAAAATTCAACGCTATCGCTTGCTTACCTGGTAAGATTTTAGTCTACCAAAACAACATCGTATGTAACAACTTACCCGGTAAGCGCTAACCGTGGTAAGAGTTGTCGTCATCACTTACCGGGTAAGACTCTCGATCCTAGCCTTTGCTCTTATCATGTATGATTTTTGGTCCTTGCCATATTTCATCCGGTGAAGTAATATGACTTGGTAAGCTCTTACCCAAGTAAGCATTTGGTAAACAGCCCCTTATTTTTATGTTATATTTATGTTTGAAGATTTGAAATTATAAACAGGGATGACTTTATGAGAGGGACCAAACACTATGGGCCGGGTACAAAAGTTCACAAGATGGCAATCAGAAGCAGCCAAATAGAGGTAATAAACCAATGGTCTACTTATTAGCTCATATATTTGTATTCTATGATATGGACAATCTTGGCTTTCCAATCACACCACATATTACTTCAATTACAGGCAACTATTGGTCCATTTCCATTTTTTTAATAAATAAAATTGGTACTGATAATGGTAGGACGCTGCTATTTGAACCCCTTTTTAGGTCAAATCATTATCATCGGAAATATAGAAAGTGAGGGTTTGATGTTAATGTGTGTGAGTATGAAATTGAGGAGATGTTCCGTTCAATTAACACGTAGGAATGGTTCACTTAGCATGACCTGTATTGATAAGAACATGTGACTGAACAAGAACGTATAGATATAGTGTTGAAAAACCTCATATGAACCTACTTTTTTATTAACTTGGATATCCAACCCGTTATGCGAGCCGACTAATCCCAGGGCGACCACCTGCTTTGCAGATAGCCCAGAGTCACCGTATTTGAACCTCCGTGGCCACAAGAGGATTTTTGTTCCTTCTTGATTTTGAACGTGGAACCTCCAGGTACTTTTGACCTCTGGAGCCAAGCTCAAACCAATCAGGCACCACCCTTGTGGTTCATATGAACCTTTATGATTATTCTTATAAGAAATAACATATAATACTAGGATTTATGGGGAAGGGAAGTTCCGTTGGGAACCCAAAATTGATTAGAAACATGGAAAACGTCTGTGCCACGTCTTTCTTCGGGATGAATATCCATTATGAGTCAGATTCATGATGAATGTGGACGTGTTTTTCATCATAAATTATACATTCATTATAAATATGTCACATGTCGTGCTCTGATCAACATGAAGTGTGTTTTGTTTGTTTAATAAATAATATATAATATAAAAATAATAAATAAAAAATGAAAAATAATAATAAATGAAGGGAAAAATGTTGTCTGACCTGTTGCAGTGTGATTTCTTGAAAGTAGGACCAGTTTGGCATGTACCCTTCCAAGAAACTGGAATGGGTCCCATTCCTCTATCGTTGAAGCTCTCTGACTCTGGCCAAACTCCTTCACCAATACACCAAATCTTCACATGTTAAACATATCACATGAACACACTTTTTTTTTTCTTTTTTTTTTAATTTATTTATTCAAATTAAGCCAAAGAAAATTTCTAATCCTATTCGAGGAGATTCGAAAATCACCGTCAACGCCTCGGTGTAGGTTCGGGATACTCCTTTGTTCCATAGCCCTACGGCTATTTACAGCTACCAATTTGAATGTAGGGTCCACATCTTTTGATGTCGACACAGCTGTATTCCCATCATTCTAGAATTTTCTTCTTTTTACAAAAAGATTAGGGGTTTTTGTTTGGCGATATGAAGATAGCAGTATTAGCATTCTGATCGGTATAGGATTTTTGTTTTATTGAAAAGGAAAACGATAGATGGGAAAAGAAGAGAACGTACCGCTATCCATCATGCCAACGATGACATCTTTCCCGTATTGAGATTTGAGTAACAAGTCCTCTTTATCCAATTGTTTTGGCTTTAGTTCTTCGTCTAAGCCTACGAATTTCCATGTTCTTGTGGTATGCAATGAGTACTCCCTTTCATGGCTTGGAATCACCATCACCACCTCCTCCATATCTGTTCATGTTTAACACAAACAGTCATTACATACATACACACACACACAGAGACATGTCTAGGGTTGGTTCTTGTGAGAAGTGTAAGAAACGATCTCCATCCTTGGATGCATATTAGGATGAGAAAGGTGATCAAGAGTCGAGATCATTTCTTACGCTTCCCACCTTAACTCTACTTCTCAAACGGTCTTTCGTCTATATGTATATATATACAAGGTCGGATTACAAGGATAATATATCCCTGATCTTGCCTTGAGCTAGCTTTGGATATAGAAATCTTTGGATATAGAAATCAACCTCGTCCCCACCTTGTTACTTGCCCAAGGTGGGAATCCATGTTCATCAGGGTTGTGTACTCGCAAGTCAAATCTCTATATCCAGTAGTCAAGGTTCTAAATGACGTGAGACATGGCGTGACGATGAGGTCAAACCTTAAGAGCCACGGCAAGGCCACGACATTTTTCAAGGAGTGGTGGCAAATATGTATATCTTATATACGTTTTATACTAGTACTTAACGAATCAATGATATTGAACAATTTAACTTTATATACTAAAAATTAAAAAAGTAAGATACTAAAAAAATAAAGAAAATCAAATAATACGTTACAAAAACTTAACATTTGATCATGAATTTTTACAAATAATACGTTACAAAAACTTCAAAAAGATAAAGAAAATCAAATAATAGATTTTTAGATGCTATAATTATAGTCAATATTTTTTTATTTAATTATACATTTAGTTTTCAGAAATTATTTAATAAAAGTATAAGTCTAAATTATCTATACTATATTATAAAACGTTTGACAAAACCTTTTTAAAACAATTTTTTATGCATGAAATACTGTTTATTGATGTATATTATTTAAAATTTAAGATTACAAGTAATTTTGTGTAAGTACAACTTATTAAAGCTTAATGTTTGAATTTGTGTAAATAACTATAGATAAACATAATCAAATAGAGAATAAATATCTCATTTTAAATATAATTAGGATAATCATTGAGTTCTAATAAAATACTTAATCATTATCTTTATAGAAATTGTGTTGTTAAACCAAAAACATGAATTAAAGAAATGCACGTAAAAAGGAGAAAATTTTGAGTCATTTTGATACTAATATCATTTTTTTTCCCAATTTTTTATAACATCGATCGAGACAAAAAAAAAACATTAAAATTGAGATATATCTTGTTGTATTGTGTGAGTATCCTTTTTGTATATAGAATTGTTATTAGTAAAGTTCATCCCAAAGTGTTTTTAATATTTTAAATAAAAACCCAATATAAATTTAAAAATAAAATCATATATTTTGGGTGATTTTTTATTGGTGAATACCTACTACTCGGTGCTGACACATCAAATTATTCACATGATAAATATTGGAATATTCAAATTAACCTTTTTATTCGTAAAAGTCAAATTATACTTCTTCTTGTTTACATTTTCAAAGTCTGGTTCGATGGTGACGTTCAATACTTCACATGTTAGTAAGAGAAAGAGAGAGTAGTGGTGGTTTACCAGAGAGTTGAGAGGCTTCGTCGACGGTAAGTGAAGCGGCAAAGCCGTTGATGCTACGCTTATAGCTGTAAAGAAGGCTAGATTTGGCTTCCTCTTCGAATTGTTTGACAGAAAACAAGTAAGAAAGATGGTATTGTTCGATCTCATGTATTGTTTTCTCTGTGTTATCATCATTGTGTCGTAAGTACACGACATACACCTGCCAACAATAAGCGAACCGATCAAACACATGCACAAGCGACTAGAACCAACAGTGTCAACCATGAATGCATACGTCTTTATGCTATAAAATAGTAAAATGAAACATGCTCTTGGCTTACAACCTCTTGATATTTAGTTTCTATCCAAATGAAAAAGTAACATGTTTTGTTTTACGGTATAAAGATTCTTCTAACATTAACCGAACAATTGTTCAGACTGTGAACTAATGTGCATTTTGTTTAGGGAAAGACGTAAATTTGTGAATACAAATGAAAAACCACTGTTTGTGCATACGTTGAACGTATTTTTGACTCGTAACGTCTTTTCAATTAACATAAAAAGTATTCACTTTTGAGAGTGTGTAGAACCTTGGTATCAATAGATGAGGCCAAGAGAGGTAGCAAAAGAAGAAGTGAAAGCAATAGAGAAGTGTTCATAGTTGAATATTTGATGGATGTTAAGTTGCGTTGGTTTTGAGATTGGGGTATTTATATGAGGAAATGGTGTGGCATAGAAGCTTAGGGTTTTTATCAAGAAATCAATCTTGAATTGAATATAAGGATGGATGGATGGAAACAAGTAAGAAGAAAACAAGAGAGAAAGAAAAGAATGGCTTCCCACTTGACAAACTGTCTCTTTTTTCTATTGTTGTAAACGTCAACTGTCTATATTCTTATACTGACTTTATCTCAATAATTTTGATTTACTGTACGTATAAGACTTGTGTAAAAAGACAAAAATATGATTATGGGTTATGTTTATTGGTGTTTGAGGAATTGAAATAAACAAAACCGAATGAACACTAACCCAATGTTCTAAATGACGTGAGCTGTGATGTGGCAGCGAGATCAAGCCAGCCTCAAGCCTTACAAGTTACCACAAGGCCATGATGTTTTTTAAGGCCTTTCCTTAGCTACATATGTATACGTGTGTGTGTGTGTGTGTGTGTATATTTGTGTGGGATTGGGTTCACGTGAGACCAATGGTTTTTCTTGAGACTCGTAAGACCGATTTATGTTCATTGATCAACTTTATAAGCTAATGATCTAGGTTTAAAGTTGCACGGTGGCAATTTTGTGATTATTGAGAAGTCTGGTGGCAATTTTGTGATTATGAATGTTTAAATTGTAGATCTAATCCAAGGGTTGAGAATTGGTCTTACGGGTCTCACGAAAAACCTTTGGTCTCACATGATCTCAAGTCCATATATGTATGCGTGTGTGTGTGTGTGTCTATATATATATATATATATATATATATATATATATATATACTTGTGTGTGTTGAGGAGCAATCAAATGAAAACCAACCTCATTTGTACAAACCGTACAAACCATCCTCATACGTCGATTTCATTGTTTAATCTTATGAATTTTTTTCATGAAATTGTTTAATCTTGTGAAATTGTTTCATATAATATATTTTTTGATGAATTTGTTTCATATATGGTTATGAAATTGTTTCATATAATATTTAATGAAATTTTAATGAAACTGTTTCATGTATTTCTCTAAAATTAAAATAATGAAGATGATAATATCCATGATTAACACCCTCCACAATAAAAATGGTTAATCAACCTCTCATAATTACAAAAAAAATGAACAAAATAAAAAATTATGATTGATTGAATGAGGTTTGCACGATTTGTACAAATTTGGTGGTTTTTATTTGAACACCCCTCTGTGTGTGTTAGTGCTTTATATAATCTTGTAGACAATTTAAATCCATATAAAGTTATAAAACCAAAAAGGAAAGAATAAGTATTTATATTAAATATATCAAACATATAAGAAAACGATATCAACAGTAAAAATCGGGATTAAATCTTTTGAGTTTTTTCTTGTTACTTTTCTTCAATTTTCAAAGAATTCATATTCGACTCACTGTGTATGAGAATGAGAGTATAAATTTACCTAACTAGGGGTTTTATGTTTCCTTTTAATGTTTTAGTTTTTAGGTGTCGTATATTATTATCATTTATCACTCAAGTTATATGTTTGAAAAGAGTTTAAAAGAAATTCATGCCTTACAGAAATAGTGTGTCCATAACGCGTCACAACGGAAGCCAATCCTTAGAGTGAAGCCACAGAGGTCAACATGGCGGCAGAAGCCAAGCGTCGACTCGATAACTAGTCATTCAGAACCATGGTATAACCCAAGGGTGAGTTCTGGACAAGGTAAAATGTACATAGACTCGATCTCTACTAAAAAAAATAGAGTGATTGTTTCAGTGGAAACTCCTGATACGTAAAAAGCGTGTGAAAAAGAGAAAGATGACCCAACGAAATTGAAAGATAAAGATTCATGAATGAAAAATAAAGGTAAGAATCTTGAAAATGAATATACCCTTTTATACTCAAACATTTATACATACATAGAGAGATAGAAAGACTTGTAATCATCTTTTTATACAGTTATGAAGAAAATCCTGTTGCAATTAACGACCAACTAAGATCACCACTGCATAATATTACATATTGTGTCGTGTTTTTGAACAGTTGTAATCTGTATGGTTTTCAAAACTTGTATATTCATTAATATATAACAAATAATTCTTTAATTATTATAAAAATTAGTTTTCCAAATCATATTGAAATTTGGTTTATCACATTTTAAAATCCAAAAAATGGATAAAAAATTTGCAGCCATGAAAGAGGTGCAAATGAAGCAACATAGAGTAGATGTACCATTGGGAAAGAATCTTGAGTTGTTTAAGCCTAAAGCAAGGGATCATGGTGACAACATATTGATTTTGACCGATCAAATGGACTTTGGCCTAACAATATGTGAGTGCTTGATCTCCTAAGAGGTCAAGGGTTCAAACCTCATCAAATATGAGGTCAAAGTTAAGCAAATTGTATTTAATAAATTATTTTAAATGTTTTTTGGGTTTTGGTTTTGGTCAAACCAAATAATCAAATCAACTTTTATATGTTATATCCATAAGTTAATTTATATCTAACAACTACATGCAATGTCACATTATTAAGTGACTAAATAGTTAAAAAATACCAAGATGTTAAATCAATCCAATTTAATATTTTTTCAATCAAATATTTTTAATTTTTGAGCTTTGACCGATCAGATAAATAAAAACGGATTTTGTTCAACGAGCTTTATTAAAATCGAAATCCTTATTTAACTGAACAGAAGAAACTGAAACCAAATAACACGAAACCGATTAAACCGAACTTTATTTGGTTTGGTTATTTGATAGCTTGAAAGATGTTCAAAACAGAATAAACCAAATGAACAACAGTTTCAAGAGGCGTCTCTGACATCATGTTAAGCGGAGACGTGCGTATTTATGCAACGCGTGACTTTTATTTATATAAAGGTTGAGGCTAGACCTTGAGTCTATGATACATTTCATGTCATGACGTGACATTATATGAAATAGTGTTTGAATTGTGTAAGATTCTAAATCATTTATTAATATTATTGATTTAATTTGGATGGTTATCTTAATTAAACTAGAAGGTACTTGCACAATGCACTGATATATATTCATTTTAATGTTTCGTTTTATTTTTTTGTCTTTGTTGATATAATACGGTTTATATAGTTTTGTGAAAAATAATGTTTTTACTTTTAAATAAAAATAAATTTGAAGATATCATAAGTTTAAAAAAAATAATGTATCGATATTAATATCAAATTGAACTATTTAAAAGTTCTTGATTTTTATATAATTTATATATTTATTCTTTTATTATAATTTAATTTAGGTCAAATAGTTAAGTAATTTATTTTTGGCTTAACAATAAAAAATTTATAAAGATAATGATTCTGTTAGAACTCGATAATTATCCTAATTATATTTTAGATTTTTTATATTTTAAAATGAGATGTTTATCCTCTATTTGATTATGTTTATCCGCAGTTAGTTACACGAATTCAAACATGGAGCTTTAATAAGTTGTACTTACGCATAATTTACTTGTAATCTTGAATTTTAAGTAATATACATCAATACACAGTACTTCATGCATAGAAATTTGTTTTTACGAGTTTTTGTGAAATGTTTTATAATATAGTATAGATATAAAACTTCGATTATTTGTTAAGGTTTTAGGGGTCGTTTGATTTGATGGAATGGTTTTGAGGGATTTGAATTTTGTAGAAGGATTTGAAATTGGAGGGACGTGAAATTATAATCTTTAATCCTTTTACAAACCTAATAAAATTGCATAAACTAACAACTTATTCTCATGTGTAGTTTTCACATATGAAATATAACGTGTGGAAATGTAGTGTTTATACGATGTTGTTCCAAATGTGAAACACTCAGAACCGTTTTATATGTGGGAAAAAAAAAACAGTGATGAATGTTTCACATGGAAAAGACTCTATAAACATTGCATTTTCACACGTGTTGTTTCACATATGAAACAACACATGAAAACTTGTTTGTAAGTTTATATAAATTATTGAGTTTATAAAGGAATTGTCATTATTGTACTTTTGATTATAAGATTCTTATCTGTTATTGGTTTATCTTCTTTGAGTTCTTTCTCATTATTGTACTTTTGATTATAAGATTTATCGTCTTCATTGACTACTTTCAATGAGTATTATTGTTCTCATTCTTCTTCTGTGTTTTCTTCGTGACGGTTGTTTGGATCGAATTGATAAGTTCAGTATGGTTTTAGTGTTCAGTTTTAGTTTATAAAATTTATAACCAAATAGTTCAATTCAGTTTAGGATTTTTAATACTGAATCTAGCGAAAGCTGTATTATTTTTTAAATTCCAGTAGATCTAAACTTTTGTTACTGGTTTAAAATTCTCGAAAGTGATCATAGTAACTTGTATAATTATCCATGGGGTCCACGTTCTAAGAAACCCGATAAAATCCTAACTTGATATACCATATTTAGAATCTTAAAGTAGCAGTGTAGCTAGAATCGAATCATTTTACAGTAAAAGTCGAAAACTACTTGAAAAAGTGGCTCTCGGTTAGACATCGCCTCCCTCTATCTTGCATGCTGATAGGTGACAACCGTTCAATTCTGATCGTTCATGTACTCTTCAATCCTCTGTATCACTCGATTGGAAAGAGGTCAAAGTGGATGCAGAGGACCACACTTACCCATTGACAATAGTCGACATCATTTTTTTCAAGTCCTTTCTGTAATTTTCTACTTTCTGCTGTTGACTTGTTTTGATACAGGTCTAAGTGGACCAAGAAGACGAAAATGCGCATCTTTTGACAAGAGTCCAGTAGGAAAAAGTTTCAATACTCATAGGTGTTTAGAGTGACAACGATCGCATGGTCGTCCTCCCTTCTATCTTGATAGATCTTATACCAACGTATTTCTCCAAATACAAAATCTCTCATACCATAAAAGTAAACAATATCAGTATTATGACTTACTTAAACAAAGGATTACAGTTGAAATCAAAATAAAAAAAATACAATTTTATTTGTATAAAACCCAGTATCGATAAAAAAAAAAAAAAACAAAATACTGACACACCTTACCATGAGTGGTCCATTTGGACCCAAACTAGGTCCATTTTGCAAGATACCAAATCTCACTCCCACCCATCCATCTTCTTACATCGAAGTTTTTTTTAATGAGTTTATTTGTTACATTTATCGTATATAAATATTATTATGATTTTAATTTTTGTAAGTAAGATAACTGTATTTTAAAAAAACAGGTACGATGTTGCTCCATCATAACTAGTTTATGAAGATATATAGCAGAGGCTAGACTAGGGGTGTAAACGATACGAGACATCTCGCAAGCCACTCGTGATCGACTCAGTCAAAATTATTTTCAAATCATGACACCGTTTGACTGTGAAAAAATTAATCCCATTATCAAATGACATATAACTTTATTTTATATTCATGCATACTTTTTTAAGTAAATTACGTTTTTAGTCCCTATGGTTTGTCGAACTTTTCAATTTTCGTCCTTGTAGTTTTGAAATTACAATTTTTATCCCTATAGTATATAATTCATTATTTTTTTTTGTTTTTATGATTAAAATTTTTTTTTTGTCTCTATCGTTTACGATTCATTTTTATTTTAGTATTTCATACTTAAAAGTAATTTTTTTGACTTTAGAGACTAAAATAAAAATGAACCATAAACCATATAAATAAAAATCGAAAATTCAAAACTACATGGATAAAATCCATAACGTAAATGTTTCTCAGATCTTCAAGATTTCTAAAATATCATAATTGTTGGAGATCTCTATCAGATAACAAAGTTCGTCCTGTTAAAACCATAATCATTAACAATGTATACGTACGAAATTCGGTGTGCGTTTCTAGTCGAGAAAACGTAATCGATACCATGAAAAGAAACAAAACTGAAATTTTATTAATAATCAAAACCTTTAAGAAGATCAAAACCGTAACTTGGACATAACAACGGCCATGGATGATCAATCAAAAATGGAACTCAAAAACGACCGCGAAAATCTAGTTCATAAGAAAACCCGTATACGAAAAAACTAGCCGTTAAGGTCCATGATCACAAAAAAACGACGATGTTTTGAAAAAGAAAAGCTAAATTCATGACCTCCGACCTACATTCGTACGTGTATAATCTGTATATATACCATGATCAGCTTTTCCGATGATCAGTCTGCCGCCAGCTTTTTCAACAGAGCGACGACGTCGGTTGATGAACCCAAGGAATACCTGGCGGTCGACTGCTTCCTCCCAACCGCACACGAGAAGTAGTTGTCGCCCTGGAGATCGAGCACCGATGAACCCTTGTTGGATGCGTCCATGGTCGCATTGTCGGTGATGGTCCACCCGTTGTCGCTATCTGAGCTAGTTGAAATGGAATGCTTCTCTGACCGGGTTCTTTCTTCGGTATGATTTGAAGAAAAGCCATTGTTGGGACTCCCAATGCTTGATTGAGTCGGTGTTGCCGCAGAGGGAAGCTCCGGCTCAAAAAACGTGCAAATATCTTCGTCCTAAGACGGTAATAAACGCATGATCAGATATAGATTTCAATTCATACGTATAAACTCAATACATTTATCAGAGCTCCAACCAGAGAAGCACAAGAACCCCGAAGCCCAGGGCCAAACCAGGCTTAAGAGCCCAATGGGGCCTATTTCCAAACCCAAAGCTCGGGCCCGAAAAGCCTGGGCTATCTTTATGCTTACAGAAAACGGGCCTGTAAGGCCCGTCCCCAGGACCGAAAAATCCAGGGCCTCGTGCATCTCTCATGAAACAGCACTGGTCAAAAGATCATGCCAGTAAAATGGAAAAGATGTCGTCTTTTGTTGAAATCTTAAGCTAACAGAACGTAATTGCCCCCAAGTCATATTCATATAAAGTCGATGAATGCAATTTTCATAGGACGATGAAAACACGTACCTTTGGAAGGAAATGGCCGACACACAGCACGTAATCAATTGGAGTCTTCATATCTTTATCGTGTATAATCTGTCCTAAAATGCCACTTATGGCCGCGCCCTAAAGTTGTCATGTAAAAGGGAAAGATCAACACGGGTTCGTGCCATAACACATCAAGTGAAAAGGGTGCGGAAAAAGTTCGAACCTTGGAGACCCCATTGGCTCGAACCTCCACGGACCTTCCACCTTGGACAACTTCAACCGAAGCATTTGATATCGGGCCAGTGCACAAATGCTGCAACATATCCTTTGCTTGAAGCCTTCCAAACTCGATATCTTTCATTACAGATCAACCAAAAGTGTGAAAATTTGACAATTTAAGGTCACGAAAGATCAAACATGAAGTGGGCAATCGATATTTCTTGTGAAATATCAACCAAAAGGGTAAAAAACCGATATTTTGAGGTCATGAAACATCAAATATGAAGCAGGAAGTTGATATCTTTCGTTAAAGATTAACCAAAAGGGTGAATATCGATATTTTAAGGTCACGAAACATCAAATATGAAGTGGGCAGTCGATATCTCTTGTGAAAGATCAAGCAAAAGGGTGAAAATCAATATTTTAAGGTCATGAAACATCATATATGAAGTGGGCAGTCGATATCTCTCGTTAAAGATCAACCAAAAGGGTGAAAATTCGATACTTTAAGGACATGAAACATCAAATATGAAGTGGGCACTTGATATCTTCCGTTAATGATCAACCAAAAAGGCGAAAATCAACATTTTAAGATCACGAAACATCAATATGTAGCTGGCAGTCGAGCACAAACCTGCATACTTATAATTCCAAACGAGTGATGTCTCACGAAGCTCAAAGTAAGACCGTGGAGTCCGCTCAGTAAAGTACTCAAAGACATGCTGCAACAGTAGAACAACTTCAAAATCTTGCCAACAATAGAAAGAAACCACGAGACTAGCGATGCACAAAATCCAGAAGCCCAATCTGAGCTCGGTCTAAAAACGGGCTTGGAGGCACGGGCCTTGTGCATCTCTAGATGAAACATAAATATGCATGCACACACCTTCACACTTTCGACCCAATCCATATGTATATTTTCTGGCAAGTTCTGTATCCATTTCTTGTTAGCGGTTCTTACAAACACACCGTGTTCGGCTGCAAGCCATATATTGTAGTCACCGAAGTTCTGCAGAATCATCAAGTCAGCAAAAAGTCTAATTTCCGAGCACAAGAAACTCACGAAATCCGTTTGAAAAGAACGGTTGCTACCTTATCGAGAACCGAACGGTGGCTTCCGCTAAGCACCACAACTGTTGTTTTCGGATCGTTACAGAGTCTCTTTAAAGGTTCTTCTAAGTCAGGATGCAGTTTGAGTTCCATATCTTTGAACTGATCAACCCTTTTGTTGGAAGAATTCACTGGTTCGGTTAATGTTGCGTTGAATCCCTGTGACATGAAAACAACACGATCGTACCAAATTTCATGAAAAAGTTGCGTTTTTTCGATAAAGTTACGGTCCCAAAGTGGTCGACATATGATGATATCCATGATGGACATTTCTAATCATCATACTTGGCTACTTACAACCAACATTCTTGTTACTCCCTCTTTCTCAAAATAAATTTCCAGAATAGAGAGTACTGAGTTCCTCCATCTCATAGTTAAGGGTAGAATTATAAACTAAGCACTACTTTTGGAAGTGGACACTTATTTTGGACAAACTAAAATTTGAAAGAAAAAAATACCAGTATGAGCAAACGGTTATTGGAACGCAGATAACGGTCACGGGCATGTTCGGTTTGAAGAACGGGAGGAATCTGTGTGGTTCGCAGTTGAGCTTCCACAACCGTATCGTTAAGTTCACTACATGAAAAAAATAGAAATAGTTAACGAAACTGAAATAACGAACAGAAGAATACGAACACGAATAAAAAGAAACATCAACCTAACAAAAGTTTCGGCCCAAGCTTGCGATGTATGAGTAGTGACATGCATGAAGTTATGGTTATGTCGTTTGTTTCTCTCGTCCGACGGCATGTTTAGAGCGTAAGCAATAGAAGCCGCCACTTCGGTGACGTTCCATGGATTTACCAAAATTGCCCCTGCACCGAGAGACTGTGCCGCTCCTGCAAACTACATATATGAAACATGGAATTCGTTACATACCAGACCAAAACTGAAACGAGCCCAATATATCCCACCTGGAGGTGGGGTCTGGGGAGTAGTAGGTTCTGCTAGGAACCTCATTTTTATTAAGAACCGGGGGACTGCCCACAGCATGAAACATGACATATTCATCAGGAATATGGACATGATATTCATCATGAATGTGTGATGCATGATGAATAACTCATCCATATTCATGATGAGTAACACGTCTATTTTCATGATGAATAGCACGCCCATATTCATCATGAACATGTTATTTATGATTAATATCCATCCTGAAGAGGTACATGTGGTGCACTGTGGGAGGTTCCCGGGTTCTCAACGAAAAAATGTTTGAACACTAATGAGTACCTCGCTTAGAATTAGAACGCCTTTCTTTGAAGCTTGGCAGGCCACAAATTCATAGCTCACAAGATTCATTCCATCCCGTAGAGATGTAACGAGTGCCACATCTAACCTCACATGATGTTTATAAACAAAATAAGGGAGATAGATACACAAACGTGAAAGAAACTCAACAAAAATAACGTCTAACACAACGATCGTTGCATCATATGGTATTAGAAGATCAAAATCATACCAGTTATGGCATATAGTGCGCATAAGGCATGAAAATCAAGAGATCGATCCTGTAGAATGCACAAGAAAATGAGGCATATAATTCAAGAAAGTGAAGTATATTCATCCCGCTGATCGTGCTCCTCCATTTCATGGATCCCATCTCGTATTTCCTCCCATTCGTTAAATGGGATCCATAAAGTAAGAATCGAGTGAAAGCCCGTTCAAGCCCATCATAGTAGCAAGGAATCTTGAAAACAAGAAGATTTATGTGCAAGATATCAAATCAAAGAGACGTACCAAATGATGAATTGGGACGGTTGTAAGCGTTCCAAATCTTCCATTAATCCGTCCAACGATTTCATGAACTTGACATGTAAGCTTTTGATCTATCAAGAAAACAAGAAAAAGCAGCGAGAGAAAGACGAAAATATTAAGAAATAACACCACTTGAAGAAAACATATCATGAAGAGAAGCACAAACTATAATCTGTAGAAATAGTAAAACATACACTCAGGGACGTCCGTCCTTGTTGGCACAGCAATCTGCAGCAAGACTACTTTATCATGCCAATTTGGATTTTCTTCAAGAAACTTTTCGAATGCCAATAGTTTTTGTGGAATTCCCTTGATCATATCAAGCCGATCGACTCCTAGCATTACCTGCCCATATGAAACAGTGAATCATAAAGTACTTTAATTTGTGAAACTTTTCAAAAAAGGGTATTTGCATGATCTGTTCTTTTGGACAAAAAGGGTAAGCGAAGACGATAAGTTTGTTCAATTAAAGACAGGTTTCTGCTCACTTTTCGGCCACCAAATCTCTCCTCGAATTCTTTTATGTAATTCTTGACTTGAGGGAGCTGAATGGCTCTTAAGAATCTATCAGAATCTATCCCAATAGGAAACTGTGGTTTCAGTTCACAAGATTCAATGGTTAGAAGCTTCAAAGATAATATGACATAGTATCGACGATAATATGACATAGTATCGACAATAATATGACATAGTATCGACAAATTCACATGTAAATAAGTCAATAAATCAGAAGAAAATACCGCAGCTACACGAGTAAGTCTCCCTTGATCTTCAACTCCATCCGGGGTACCCTCAAGCCCAAGAATTCGAGTGCAAGCACTCACAAAGTGTCTTGCATAATCATAAGTGTGAAACCTGAAAAAAAACAAATAATGATCATTTTTTGGGCTGTGAAAAGCACACCAGTTGGAAAAAAGATTTGAAATTTTTGGTAATTCTTCCATACCCAACTAGATCAGCTGCAAGAACAGCTGTTAGCAGCTCCGATCTTGATGGCATTGTTCTATGGATCTCCGAAGATGGGAATGGAGTGTGCAGAAACCAGCCGACTTTAATATTAGAGTTTTGTTCTTTTAGACATTTAGGTAGAAACATAAGATGGTAATCGTGACACCAAACGATATCGCCTTCCTGATAATGCTCTTTTACTACATCTGCAAACATCTGATTGGCCTTTTTGTAGGCATCGAATTGGGATTGGAAGCTACAAATGGTCGCCAGCCAATCCTCATGAGGAAGCCCGAGGTAATGAAAGAGTGGCCATAGGATATTGTTGCAGTATCCATTGTAATACAGATGAACAAGATCTTCGTCAAGAAAAACAGGAATGCATCTCTGCATATCAACAAAAAGACTCAAATTTTTGTAGCTATATGTTATAAAGGTTTAGCAGAAAGTATTGAAATATATAATCAACCTTCGCGGCTAAAGATTCAGTGAGAGATTTCCGTCCAATTTCATCAGGTACATTTACGCCAGCCCATCCAACCCATCTTGTTTCGAATTCCGTTATACCTTCAACAAAATTTCCCTCCATCAGAATCCCATAAATATCACATTCTTTCATACTATTTTCTTCCATTCTCCATGTGAAATGGACCCCACAAAATGTAAAGATCAAATGAATAGAGATATATAACACACATTGTATAGCAGAATCAAGAACAGAAAACGAAGTGGCAACATAGTAACAGAAAATGGAAAACTTACCCAAAAGTGCGCTAACTAAGCCACCAACACTAACTTCAAGTTGCCAACATGCCTCACCCTTTCTAATGGCAGATACAGGAAGACGATTGGCTACTACCAATAACCGTTGTCTCGAATGGCGTCTATCGTGTCTCTCACATCCATTTCTAACCGCTTCATTTGGAGCAACTCCATTCACCAACTCCTCTTCGGTAGGCAAAATTTCAGTTTTGGATGAAATTGTCCGGCCATCCTCAATATTACCATCTATAGCTCCATTACTATGAACATCATCATTGTAAGACTTCAATGATCTCCTTAACTCTCTTTCCTTCAAGAGTCTTTCAAGCCTAGTTCTAAGTATAGTTGAAGTATTGTAGTAGTCATCTACGACGATATTCGAGTTCTTCAATTCATCCTGCAATTCAAGAAATCATTTCATGCCAAAATCAGATGTTTGATATATATATATACACACACACACACATACATATATCAATCAAACTTGGAAGACTGAATGATTGTTTGAATCATCATACTTAACTGTTCATCACAAACTGATTGTCATTCTTGAAAATGTGCCAACAAGAAGTTTATAGTATAAATGCACAAAAGACCATAACAATTGATACCCTTTGTCCAAAATTGCTCATTTATCGTAAAGCATAGTGATATTTTGGCATATTAACAGAAAACTACAAGTTTTGATGGTTTGAGAAATCAATCAACTTTTCTTGAAAAGAAAGAATCATGCCCTTGGCTCATTACTTCATTTAGCCTATAACAAAAGGGAAAACCAAAAAAGTTACTCAACAAGTGTGGTATAAAGTATGATAACACACATCAAGAACAATCTCTAAATAAGTGGGACAGTGGTTTGACTTATTCTTTTTTGCAAATTGCAGAAGTGAGAAAAGAGAAAAGTGGCAGATTATGAACAACATAGTCTCTGGCTATTTTTGTTCAAAGCCACTCAATTTTGCCTTATATTTTGATGGTCTTTTTTACAAGAAATGAGGTTAATGACTCATCAGAAGTTGGATCATTAATATTTCCCACTGAAGGAACAGTAGATAGCTAGAAACTGATCATGCAAATCTTTATTTACATCTGTAAATCATACTGCATTTTCAAGATATAAAACAAATCCTCATTCAATTTATAACAGAATAGTGTGTGTGTGTGTGTGTGTAAGTGTACACTGTAAAGTGGGTCAGGGAAGACTGAATGGGTGTGAAGGAGACAAAATTGACACTCAAAAACCAATTGGGATACATAATTATATCCATTATATACAAAATACACACACATAACACATATTGGGAAAACTAATTGACAAATTACACAATGAATGAGTAAAGAAACTCAAATCAGCCAAATAGAAACAGTGGAATCTTCTATTCTATTCTCTTGTTCTTTATTCTATGATGAATGTAATCTCAAGAACATCTTCAAGAAATTCAAGATTTTTCAAGAACTCAAAAACAAAACTCTATATAAGCACAAACCCAGATAATACCATCAAAATATGAAGTGGGTTTGCACAGAAAATTCAAGAAACAAGAATACAAACATTCCTTTGATTCGAGTGAAATCAATGGATATGTAAAAAAGGGTTTGTTCGTTTTACCAAATCGTGTTCCAGAATGCTGATCTCATCAGAGGAGTTTAACTTCTGCATTGTTTTGTTTCGAAAAACAAAACCCTAGTGCTGTTGTTTAAGGTTCTAATGAATATATCCATTTATATAGAACAGGAGACTTAGGCTAAAGATGGGTATTTTGTGGAAGAGAAAGTCGATACTGAAAAACCCCTTCCATATATGTAACGTTTCGACACTGATAAATCCCTTCCATATATGAAACGGCTATATATATATATATACACACACACACACATAAAGATTAAGAGGGCAGGTGGGGAAGTATTAGAGGGTTACAGCTATGGTGAGGGTTCTTTATAGCTTCCCATAGCACAAAGCTTTAAGCCATGCAGAGATGTTGATGCAGAGAAGGGGTGTGGATGTGCAATTTTACCCTTTTTTGAAAATAAAGATTTCTTTTAGTCAAAGGGAAATAACAAATTCAAACATACCCAAAGATTGTTACGGAGCACAAATATTTTTTTTATCATATCATATTAACCAAATTATATATATATATATATGGTTGGGTTCACGTTAGACCAACTTGTATCCGTGAGACCATTTTTTTATACTTAAAACTTTACAGCAAAATTCTGTGAAGGTAATATTCGCAGTGTTTTTTCTGTAAAAGTTCGACTTCTTTTTATCTTTACTGCATTTTGCTGTGAAGTTTCAAGTGTAAAAAAATGGTCTCACGGGTCTCACGAAAACAGGTTGATCTCACGTATATAATTCTTGATGATTCCGTTATGTTTTTTTAATATTTTTTTGATTTTTAAGCTAAAATTGGTTAAGAAATATATAGTATGTTGTGTTATAATGAATTTAAAGATTTCTTTAAATAAACCATGGATTGAAGGAGTTGAGAAATATGGAGATCCATTTATTGAATCTAAACACTTTTGATCTTCTTTCTATATTTTGTTTTATAACAAGTAGAATATGCAATTTTTGGTATATATTAATCCATTTTCTTTTTGTTAGAGATCAAAGTTATTAAGAGGATATCCGATAAATCCTTTTAAAATATAGAAAATACTGATGAACATCAAAACCAATCAAAAATACATATCATAAAGCTATTTTTTATGATAAAAAGTTTGTAGAGACAACTACAAAGATGGTGCTTGATTGGTTTGAGCTTGGCTTCAAAGGTCAAAAGTACCAGGAGGTCCCATGTTCAAATTCAAAAAGAAATAAAAATCTTCTTGTGGCCACGGAGGTTCAAATGCGGTAACTCCAATCTATCTGCAAAGCAGGTGATCGCCCTGTGATTATTCGGCTCGCATAGCGGGTTGGATATCCAGATTAATCAAAAAAAAATTGTAGAGACAAACTTCTAAACAAATCATAGATCATATGGACCAAATCTGTAAGTTACTTGTTAATTAAGTCGAATGTGCTACAATTTAAAATATTAAGTTATCAATAGCAAGTAAGCTATAGGTTAGATAGAAACTATGTACTCGTGCAATACAGCGGGATATAAGATTTTACTGTAAACTAAGAACGAAAAATGAAAGTAATTTTTCATTAAAATCAATGTTATTTATGTCTGAAAAAAGGTAGAGACTAGAAATGGTGGTTAACCATATACTGATTTAAAGACATGGTAAAAATCCATCAAAAAATATATCGATATTGATATATTATTAAAGACTAGAAAAAGGTTTTCGCTCAGTGTAACGAGATACATCTCGATTTTAACGTTTCGTTTTATTCAGTCATTTGTCGGTGTTATAATACAATTTTATGTGGTTTTGAGAAAAGATAATGTTTTTATTTTTGAATAAAATATAAATTTGAAGATATCTTTAATTTTTTATAAAAATATATCTACATTAGTATCAAATTAACTATTTAAAAGTTCTTGTTTTGTTGTGTAATTTCTTTAATTCAATTATTTATTATAATTTAATTTAGGTTTAATAACGAAGTAATTTATTTTTGATTTAATAATATATTTTTTTATAAAGATAATATTTGTTATAATACATTGATTATCTTAATTATATTTAAAATAAAATGTTTATCCAGTATTTGATTATGTTTATCTGCAGTTGGTTACATGAATTCAAACGTGGAGTTTTAATAAGTTGTACTTATGCATTATTTACTTGTAATCTTGAATTTTAATAATATGCATCAATAAACAGTACTTCATGTATAAAGATAGTTTTTAAAAGTTTTGTCAAATGTTTTATAATATAACTAGAAGGGTACTCGTGCAATGCATCTAGACACATTTCTATTTCAATGTTTTGTTTTGTTTTTTATCCATGTCGATATAATACGATTTTATGTGGTTTTGAAAAGGCCATAATGTTTCTATTTCTGAATAAAATATAAATTTGAAAATATCATATAAATTTTGTAAAAAACATCAATATTAATATCAAATTAACTATTTAAAAGTTATTGTTTGTTGATTTTTTTTAATTCAATTTTTCTATTTTAATTTAATTTAACGTAACGAAGTAACTTAATTTAGGTTTAATAATATATTTTTTTATAAAGATAATTTTTAAGTATTTTGTTAGAACTCAATAATTATCCTAAATATATTTTAGATTTTTTTATATTTTAAWATGAGATGTTTATCCTCTATTTGATTATGTTTATCCGCAGTTAGTTACACGAATTCAAACATAGAGCTTTAATAAGTTGTACTTATGCACAATTTATTTGTAATCTTGAATTTTAAGTAATATGCATCAATAAATAGTACTTTATGCATAAAATATGGTTTTTAAAATTTTTTGTCAAATATTTTATAATATAGTATAGATATAGATTATAACGTTATTGTTTTTTTATATAATTTGTTTGATTTAAAATTTTATTATATAGACATTTTAGATTTGAAAAAAATATGTGATTTATTTTAGTTTTAATGAGATATCTTCCGTTGTTAATGAAGACTAGAAGGGTACTCGTGCAATGCAACGGTATATATCTTGATTTTAATATTTTATTTTATTTTTTATCTCAGTCGATGTTATAATATGGTCTTCTGTGATTTTGAAAAGACAATGATGCTTCTATTTTTGAATAAAATATAAATTTGAAAATATCATAAAATTTTGACAAAAATGTATTGATATTAGTATCAAATTAACTATTTAAAATTCATATTTTTTGTGTAATTTTTTAATTCAAAATTTTTATTATAATTTAATTTATGTTCAATAACGAAGTAATTTATTTTTNTGAAATATTAAAATCACGATGTATCTCGCTGCATTGCGCGAGTACGCTTCTAGTTCATACTAATACTACATGTCATCAATGGAGAATTTTTATGTAAAAAACACAATATGTGTTTACTGTTTGATATAAAAAAATTCTACTCCTAAAAATAAATTTTTATGTTAGTTTACAATTCTACCAATACGTATTTATCGCAATTAATATATATTTATCACTGCTATTCAAGTTCTTTGTTACATATTTACTAGAAGGGTACTCGTGCAATGCATTAAGACACATTTCGATTTCAATGTTTTGTTTTTTTATGTCGATATAATACGTTTTATGTGGTTTTGAGAAAACGATAATGTTTTTATTTTTGAATAAAATATAAATTTGAAAATATCATAAAATTTTGAAAAGAATATATCAATATCAGTATCAAATTAATATTTAAAAGTTCTTGTTTTGAGTAATTTCTTTCATTCAAAATTTTATTATAATTTAATTTAATGTAACAAAGTAATTTAATTTAGGTTTAATAATATAATTTTTTATAAAGATAATCATTAAATATTCTGTTAGAACTCAATGATTATTCTAATTATATTTAAGATTTTTTATATTTAAAATGAGATTTTTATCCTATATTTGATTATGTTTATCTGCAGTTAGTTAACGAATTTAAACATGGAGCTTTAATAAGTTTTATTTACATAAAACTTACTTGTAATCTTAAATTTTAAGTAATATGCTCAATAAACAATACTTCACATGTAAAAAATAGTTTTTAAAAGTCTTTGTCAAATGTTTTATAATATAGTATAGATTTAAATAAACATTCAATAAGCATATCCCTACCAATTAATACTTATCCTCATTAATATATGTTTATCCCTATTAATATTTAATACTACTAGAAGAGTACTCGTGCAATGCAGCGAGACACATCTCGGTTTTAATATTATATTTTATTATTTGTCTCTGTCGATATTATAATACGATTTTATGTGTTTTTAAGAAATCATTAATGATTTTTTTGAATAAAATATAAATTTGAAGATATCATAAAAATTAAAAAAAAAATATCAATGTTAATATCAAATCAACTATTTAAAAGTTCGTATTTTTATATAATTTATTTATTTTATTATAATTTAATTTAAATTTAATAATGAAATAATTTATTTTTGATTTAATAATATAAACATTTTAATAGATAATAATTAAGTATTCTGTTAGAACTCAATAATTATCCTAATTGTATTTTAGATTTTTTATATTTAAAATGATATGTTTATCATGTATTTGATTATGTTTATCTACAGTTAGTTACACGAATTCAGATATGGAGCTTTAATAAGTTGTACTTACGTACAATCTATTTGCAATCTTGAGTTTTAAGTAATATCATTAATAAACAGTACTTTACGCAAAAAAATTGTTTTTTAAGAGTTTTTGTCAAATGCTTTATAATATAATATAGATAGTATGATGTAGTAGTTTTGTGTGGATAAAGATAATGATGGAGTAATTTATCGTTAGACTCAATGATTATCTTGTATTAACTGTATTTATCAGTTGGTTAAATTTGTTCTATTAGGGTGCGTTTGGTGCGCAGACAGGACAGGACAGGACAGGACGAGACAGGACAGGACAGGACAGTTGTTCAGCATTTGGTAAGACATGACAGGACATGACATGACTGGTTAAAATGACCGATTTACCCTCAATGAGTTGTTTAGTGTTTTTTCACCAAAATCAATCTTAATTGAAAACTCACAAAAAAGCCAAGTGTTGTGTTCACTACTCACAAATAAATGGCAGTCAAATAAGCTGTTGTGTTC